AATAAAGTAAAAACTATTTAATATCATGCGCAGAGCATATTTTTGGTGCAGGACTAAGCCTTCAGCAGGTGTTATCAGCCTTTACCGACTGCAGTCGACATCACTCTACGTACAGTTTCACTCTTTGTTGATTGCCGTTGATTAAAACTAACCACAGCCGAACCCTTATTTCTGAACCAAAACTTTTATTCCGTGGTGATATTATTATACATTTTTTCCTAACTTATGAACATATCAGCATTCTACATACAATCCCTGTTTTTGTTATATCGCGGTAAAATTATAGAAAAAAAAGCTAGCAGCTTAGTCGTCATCCATTAAGTCTTTTTTTCGTTTTTCCGGTGTACCACACTGGAATCTGCATGCACTTATATCTGCTTATTACGTTGTTCAAGTATATTCTCATTTTAATGTTTGTCTTTAATTCCTAGGTGACTGTCGTTACGTCGATGGGTGAAGAAGCGATTTTGGCTTTTAAAAATATGCCAAAAGATTAATGGAATTTGGTGTAAAGTCCGGTTTGTTGAGATGAATTGTTTTCAAACTGGATTGATATAGGCTAATTTTTCCTTTGACGTTGCAGTTTTGTTGAAATTTTTTTTACTTTTTTTAAGAATACGTTTCACTTATGATTTAGCCAGCCATATGTTCAGCAGTACATAAGAGACTTGTACTCCAATTAATGCTACTCTTTCAAGGTAGTTTGAACTGCATAGAGCTGTCTGTCCTACTTATTAACTTAGTGCTTAAAGTTCTCGTCTTATCACATTGATAAAAACTAGCCCTTGTTTCTCAACGTTCCGGAATAAACTTATTTTGTGTATTCTTCTTATCAGATATATTGCTGAACTTTGGCTTCATGACTTCAAAGTGTGTTGATTTTGCCGCTGTCACAATTGAGTTCTTCAGTCTTTGTCGTTTTTTGTTTTCGTAACTTTATTTAGTTATTTATTAGCGAGCTTCAAATAATTGCAGATTAGTGATCATTTGTTTTTCTTGCAGGTGCCATATCGTTTAATAGCTCATTACTCTGGACAAATAGTGGAATCTCACACGTCATAGAAAATTATTTTTCTTAATCTAAGAAATTGATTTTACATAAATTTAATGCAATTGTTTGTGCATTATGAGTGGCATAGTCGCACCTGGGACTGGATTTTGACCAGGTTAGAAATCCCATTTACTGAAGTTAATCATGGTTCTATGTGCCATCATATGACATGAATGTAAAGTGCTTGTTCGGTTCGTTCAGCAATGTCAAGTTACTTCTGACTATATTGAAAAAGTCAATTGTTGCAGGTATTTTAATGGAAATGAGTGTGCGATAGTTGCTAGTTCGCCTAGATATGGAAAATCGTTACACTATCAACCACTGGATTGGCGTTTGCATAATGCTCTTTCATTGCAAGCGATGAAATTAAATCATTCTATCTTGTTTTTTCGAAAACATTTTAAAAAAACGCCCTGTTGTAATCAGTTTTATGAAACATTCAATATTTTTGCGCAACAGAAACAAAAGATTTGCATGATATTAGAAAATAGGTTTTGATTTAACTGTCTGCCGTTGCTGTCATCGATCGATATTGCATTCTGTCCCATTTTGTATGTAATGTTTACAGGCGAGTGGTGACTGATAGACCTGGACAGAGAATTTAAGCCAAACCGCTCCTGTAGCTGTTAAAGTCGTTAGCACGTATTGCGTTTATTCGGTAAATGAACTGCATGATATTTCTACTTAGTCTTACCACGATAGATGAGTTGTACGGCCATCTCTCATCCAAACGTGTTTTGTGACTACTCGCCGTATTTGTCTACCTGAATAGTGTCTGTTCAGTTTGCACAATACCTCATCAGTACATGGCGCCCAAGCCACAACCGTTTCTGATCCGATTTTCAACTGTTGTATATGCGGTAGATTCAATTACGATCCAGTAGACAATTCTAAAACTTCCGTCAGTAAGTTTCAATGACTGCATGTTTTTTTCAGGTTGTAGAGACAGATGTAGCGGTGTCTTCAACTTTCCGGGGCAGCGTCTGAGCTTCGGCAGAACTAACTAGAACTGGGATCCAAATCCTTCAAAATAACTGCTCTAGTTATTTCTCTCTGGCGTCCCCTTTACCTATAACCGGTCGTGTAGTTAGCAGTAGTCAGTTCGCCTTCGTTTCTGGAAGTATCCGCAACATGTACCCAGACTATCGCTGCTAGAACTTAATATCTTTGAACACCACTTCAGGATTTCTGAAATCTAGATTATCGATTCATTATCTCAGGAAGTTTATTACAGTTTTGCTCGTAATGAGGTTTTCATTCACGGAAAGTCAGGTGTTAGGGTTATATGCATTTTGGCAGCTGGAGGCATAGCATCGTTTTTATGGATAACGAAGACAAAAGTGTCAGAAGCAGGGTTGCGCCCGTTTTGAAAGGAGAAACCAAAAAGTGTCATGCCATAATGACGTTAAATAGTGCTTGTACGAGCAGGATGCCTATCGTGGTGGGAACTCACATTCCGAAGTCTGAAAATCTCCAGAATTTGTATTTCCGTAATTCAAACATCCTATGCAACTCAAGCCATCTTTATTTTGCCGTATCTTTAATCCTGAAATGCTCGAAATATTCAACCTTGTCTAAAATCTAGCTTATAGAATTAACGATAGTGCATTCAGTTGCAAAAAAATGCATAACACTTGGCAAACGAGTGCGCAGATCTTGTACTTCTTACCATTTAAGTGACTACAGCTATAAATTAAACGACGTCCGCCGAACATAACTACTCGAAAAATTAGCCAAGTCCTTCGAAAGAAAGTCTATTTATGCGGCAATGGTCATCAATATTTGCCACGTATATGTTTATTTTTAGCGGTCGGGAAAGGTCCCAGTTGACTTAAAAATGATAGTTTAGAAGTTGGCAATTGTAAATACCTGCCATTACTTCTGTGGCCCTATTTAATTTATATGCGTCTTGATCTTGCTACATAATTTCATTATGCCCTGCTGTATTATTTTGTGCAATTATTTTCTGATCGTTTTGCCTATGAGAGTGTTCTGTGTCATTTGTTTTCCTTTCTATTTTTTTAGATTCCGTTATATTGATTCTCTCCAGCTTAACGTATATATATTCATTAACGAATAGCAGGGTGCAGCAGTGATATTCAGCGGAAATCGAAGCTTTGGAATTTCATAAAATTGGAATTGCTCTAGAAAAAGGGACAAGTGGTGATCGACTGCTTCAGTTGCACCTGTCGAGGTGACCATTCTAAGGAAACTGTGTAGAAGTTAAAACAACTGGGAATTTTTCGCTTGCTTTGAAAGGTCAGTTAAAAGGAGAGAGCAGTGGTTAGTGTCAAAGAATAAAGTCATCCATTAGAAAGTTGTTCGCAACCAAGATAAACTGAAAAAGAAGGATTCAGCAGACGCCGCTACAGCGGAACAGACTAAGCAGAATTAGTGGACTAAAAGACCTACAAATTAGCTTGGTTTTTCATCGCTCATGCGCGATGACCGTTTGTCATACATGTTGAATAATCATTAATTTTTTCTTCTTCCCCATTTCAAAGAAAATCTGCT